TTTTCCCCACAACAAATATCCTCACCCTTAAATCAACACTATCATCACTCCTTTTTAAATATATTCTCTGAGGTTGCTAACCAAAACCGCGAACAGCTTAAAAACCTCACTTATTATATCCCGTCAGCATCTAACTCTGTGCTTATGATTGATACCATTTATTTTCTGTTTGACTACTTCGTGCGTAATTTTGGCGCAGGTATGGGATTAGTATCACGGATTCCTTCTAACCCCGACATTCTTTATAATACCGAAGACAGAAGAGGTAAAGAAAACTTTTGGACATACGACGCTCCGCTCATGGCATTAAATAATCCGCATATTCTCAACGCCATGCTAGCACTATCATCTTTGCATTATTCTAGAGTCAATAAAGATGCTGATTTAGATCCAGTAGCTTTTAACAGCATGACATATTATCAAAATGCTGTTAGAGGTCTCCGAGAATCTATCATAATACAAAGACACACTGACACGTTAGCTGCTTTAACAACATGCCTACTACTTGCATTTTACGAAACAATGTATGGCGACTTGATGAAGTGGTACACTCACATGGCAGGTGCAAAAGACATAATAGTTAACTGGGATCTGTGTAAGATGGTCAGCAATGCAAGGAATCTTTACATTAAGGAGAACATACCTGATTTTCTTTCTCCTGCTGAGATCAAGGCGCTTCAAGCCGCTGATTTAATTTCAGTGTTTCTTTATATGGACTTGATGCAAAGCACGATTGGTAGTAGTCAGATGCTTCTGTCTTTAGAAATGATAGAATTATTGCCATTACGCGGAACTCCATCTTCTAAAGTTTTTATTTTCGACTCGCTAATAAAATGTTCTGCCAAAATCGGATCTTGGGTAGCAACCGAGCACGTCAGAAAAGAACAACTATACCCAAAAAACGCACCCCATCCAGTATTCACGGAGAAAGATCACAATAAATTAGCTCTAGCAAATTTGGAGTGGAAGTCGCTTAGTAACGAGTTGAAAGCGCTAGAAAAGCTTTTTACACCGCTGATTGCGCCTTTACCGACAAAAGGACCACCAATTCTGACACCGTTTGGGCCTTCGTCAGTATACAACTCTGCATTTGATATGTACCTTACTACTTTTTTGCATATGAATTGGCTTATCATCAAAAGAAATCGCCCTGATATTCCAACATTTGGCATGGAAACTTTGCGATACGCAGCGGAAGCAGGGGTTCCTCATTTAATTGCCATTTTTAGATCGCTGCCACCAGTAATTCCACCCACGTTTGCGTCTGCAAACAATGAAAACCTAGACTCGGGACAAATTTTGCGATTGGTCATTGAGATTACAGTGCCCGCATTCTTTGCCGGCATTCAAGTGTGTGATCCCAGCCAACAGGAATGGGTTGAACGGTGGTTCCATCAGTGTTATCAATTCACAGGCTGGTCCACCACTTTAACCATCATTCGAGGCATCAGACGTGGATGGGCCGCGCAGAAGGCAGCCATTACACAAATGATGAACTCTCAGGATCGGTCCGCAGAATCATCGCCCTCAAACTTCTCAAACTCGCCGTCATCAAGTGAAAACACACTCTCACCGTTATCAAACCCAGGTTCGTCGCCCATGTCAGACACAAGCAGCGAACAAATACCGGAAAATCTTACTCCCAAAGAGCACAAAGCATTTAGAGTTACGAAAGCCAAGGGATTATTATAATTGTTTTGTTTGTTTTTTTTTGTTAAACTGTTATCAGATACTTGAGTAGGTTTCAAATTCTAAATATTTATTGTATGAGAAAAAAACCTATTGTAATTCTTCATTTGTCTCGAGGGCTCGCCGACGTTTGGAAAGGGTAGTTTGCGAGAGTAAAAGTGTACCACTTGTTCATCCTCTCTTAACTATTAATTACAAACTGATCTTACAAACCAACCAAAATATTTTGTTTGATTTTTGTTCTTCTAACAATTATATACATACCATATATCAAACCATCTACGTCATAACTTAATAATGCTGTATTTAATATATTAAACCTAAAAACATTATTTCAATTGATATAAATAAAAATATTATACGTATTATTACAGTTTAATATAAAATAATGAAATTTAAATTCATAGTTAAAGTTTCTCAAGACATAATCGATAATATAATCTACTTATTTATAACGCACCAATATACTATACATATTCCCTGACAATTATGATGTCGCATAGTACAAAAAGTAATTTAATTACTGAACCGGCTTAATGTAGATAAATAAAAAAAGCAGTTTGACTGCATGTATATATATGTATTAAATAGGTGTGTACAAGTGTGTGAACAGATTCAAAATTAATTTATAGGTAGCAACACAGCCAATTCACAAGCGCTGCCTTCATAACCTGAAAAAAAAAAAAAGAAAAATTAGCAGCCTTGCGTGGTGGTTAGGATATCAGCTCTCAAATACGCTACTTATAAATGACTATCAACAGAGGATCTGAGAGTCTTGATAGCAACCTCAGGATCCTGGGCCTTGTAAACACTGGTACCAGCAACAATAACGTTGGCACCAGCAGCCGCAGCTACATCAATGTTTTCGGGAGCCAGACCACCATCAACCTGAATATCGAGATCCGGGTACTTGGTGCGCAGCGCCTGGACCTTTGTCATCATGTCACCCATAAACTTTTGACCGCCAAAGCCGGGTTCAACAGTCATAACAAGCACCATATCGACAGCACCCTGATCAATAAGCTCATAGACAGTAGAAACATCAGTCTTGGGCTTGACAGCAACACCTACGCGCATGCCGGCCTCGCGGATGGCAGCCGCGACCTTGGCAGGCTCTGCCGTCGCCTCAATGTGAAACGTGTACTGATCCGCGCCAGCCTTGGCCATGTCCGGCACCCAGGTCAACGGCTCAGAAACCATCATGTGGCAGTCAAAGAAGGCATCACCCTTGGGGATGTGGTTACGTAGCGCCTGTACGACAGGGGGGCCGAAGGTCAAGTTAGGCACAAAGTGACCATCCATGACGTCAACGTGGAGCCAGTCAGCAGTGTAGTTGAGAATGCGCTTACAGTCAGCAGCAAGATCGGCAAAGTCGCCAGAAAGAATTGAAGGAGCGATAATAGACTTGACCATTATTGTTGGTAGCAGTAGTAGTATTGGATTTCTATCGGTTAAACGTGATAGGATGTATCTGGGGTTGAAGGGTACTGGGTTGTTGATCTGGAAAAAAAAAAAGTTTTAAACCCAACGGGATATGTCAATCTTGTTTTAAAAGATGAACAAAAACCACGATCGTGGTTTAGGGTAAGCTTTAAAGACATATGCATCAAGTACAAAGTATTTAGTTTTAAAATTTCAGGGTCATAAAACAGTCAACTACAAGGACCACCATATTTCAAAAGACGTGTAGATAAACAGTTTGTTTCAATGGCTAGAAATAACATAGTGTAAAAAATTACTGAATAATATACAGTGAATATATATTTTTAAAAACAGAAACTGATAGCAAAAAGTATTTAAAATAAATCATTGTTTCGGTTTGACTTAATCGTTTTTGGCCTTCTTTGCTTGAATCAACTTTGCTAGACGGTTCAGTTTGAACCGTTTCGCAAACACGAGAGCAATCAAAAATTTTGGTACAAATAAATCCAGAAACCACAAAAACCATGCTCCGTGACCATCCCAAATGGTTCTAGGTGGAACTGCTGGGGTCGTCAGTTTTCGCACAACGCGCTCAGCAAACACATTAGCAGGCATGGGGTTATTGTCTTTGGCCATAGTGCGGCGAGCTTGAACACCGTCATTCTCGATTTCAATGTAAAGAGAGTCTTTTGGGAGTGGCCTGTCATCACCAATATCCGTGAGTACACCGCCGACGACAAGCGTCACGACCTTGACACCAAACGGAGCGATTTCAATTCGTAGCACATCCGAGTATTGATGAAGTGCAGCTTTGGATGCCGCATAAACTGAAGCAAAAGGGAATGGCAGCTTGCCAGCAACAGATCCAGTTTGTACCACAGTGCCCTTGGCTTCAATTAACAGTGGTAGAAACGTCTTGGTAACTCTGATGACGCCAAACAAGTTTACGGCAAAGCAAGCTTCAGCGTCAGCAACCTTGAGGTCCATAGCAGGGAACGTGCACGAAGCGCCAGCATTGTTGAAAAGATAATCAAGCCTACCACCAGACTCTTTTTGAATATATTTAAACGCGTTTTCAACACTCTCGTCAGAAGTCACATCTACTTGAAGCGTGTGGACACCGAGATCATTGAGATCGCTCATAGCATTAAGGCGTCTAGCACCGGCAAATACTTTGAAACCTATAAAAAGAGTGTAAAACTGTCAGTAATCAATTGGGATAAGCACACAACCAGTTAAAATAGTATCAGTTTGCATAATTGAATGAATCATCGGTAATGGTAAAGGAACTTCCATGAAATTGAAAAAAAAAAAAAAAAAAATCATACCTTGGAAAAACAATTCTCTAGCCAGAGCTTTGCCTATACCAGATGATGCACCTGTGACAAAAGCTGTTTTTTGTGATTGAACGGACATTTTTAATTGTAAAGAATGGTGATTATATGCTCACCAGAATACTTTGCTTAGTGATTAGAAAAAGAAGGAATAAAAAGCAGACAGCAGTAACCTTTTTTTTTTTTTTTTGTTCTTTAAGGTAGTTTATATATTATCCCCAATCGCCGTCACTAGCCAGAATTTAGCCGTCAGGACCCTGGTCATCATCTCCTTGCTGCACCTACCAGTTCTAAGCGGGGAATTGCTCAACCACCGAGGAAATGAAAATGCCGAACAAAGGTGTTTGTGATTACGTGTATGTTTTTTTTTTTTTTTTGTTTTAACAAAAATAGATAACGTCGCAGTCACAAACTTGACATCTCCGCTTGAATGTCGCAAATTTCCCTATTTTACCATATTTTAAAACTTTCATATGTGAAGAAATTAAAGCTCGGCTGACAAAATGAAAAAAAATATATGAAATAAAAAAATAAAAAAATGTTGTAAAAAAATATCGACATCAGCAGGATTTGAACCTGCGCGGGAAATCCCAATTGATAACCTCGACGATAATATTCGAGTCAATCGCCTTAACCACTCGGCCATAATGCCCAATTTTTGATTTTCAACTTTTGATCTTAAATAAATTGTTCAATTAATATAATTTTGATTTTATTTTTAATTTTTGGTTATTTTGGAAACGTTTTGGAACGGCTTTAAAAACATCCAGTTTTTTTGAAAACTTGAAATAGTTTTTTGGCAAATCAAAAACATGGCATTTAGACTGTTAAACCATAAGCAGTTTATTAAAAAGTGTCTTTCCGTGATCAATAAAACTCTTCAAATGCAGAGATGAACTTGAGTTTTACAATTGATCATGGTCAAAAAGAGAATCGGTATTTCAGCAAAAAAAAAAAATCAATTGTATCACGCTATTTAATACCTCTTTTGCTTAATAAAGAAATAACAATAACCGTGGACAATTATGACATTTAATGATGTGGAATTCTTTATGAAAAGTTCCATGTGCTAAGGAAATCCTGAAATATATAACATCTGGTAGATTGATAACAGAGATTGACACACAGTAAAACCTTAACAATCTTTTTTAATCAAGCAAAATTTTGTGATTTGTTGTATTAAATAATTTCTTTAGTGTTGTTAATTGACTGGGAAAAAAAAAAATTCAAATCATAGTCATGCGCTGTACATCACGAGCTGAGTGGCAGAAAGACTATGATGAGTTAGGTGAACTTCGACAATACTACTCTTGTAC